TAAAGATCCCTTTTCCTTTTAGTTTCTTTGCATTTTTCAAGATTAGTTCTTTATCTTTATATATTTATATTATCTTTATAATTTAACAGTTTAAGTATAACAGTTCTTGGGGTATCCATATTATTATAAACTTTTCCAATTCTGTGTGCCCTTTCTATTACTATATTTTTTTAGCTGAAGCTGTTCATTAAAAATTGTTTGAAGTTTTTGTTCAGTATTTTGCCAAGTTTCTCGTTCATTTTCTCGTAATCCGTAAATTCTTATATTATTTCTTCTATTTCTGTCTTCAAATTTTCTCATCTTTTCTTTTAGCTCGTGGCATAAGATTTTTGCTTCGTCTAGATTTTCTTGTACGTAAACGGTTTTATTTGAAACGTTTGCAATTTCGCTATTAATAACTTTGTTTAAATCTTTATTAAGAGATATAATTTTTTCATCGATTAAAGTATCCTGAGTGAACTCAATACTTTTCTGAAGGTCTTCAACAGTTTGTTGTAAAGTTTTTTGTTTTTCTTCTACTAATAACAACCGTTTAGTTATTGACTCGATTGATTTTAAGATTTTATCCATTTTTTCATTTTGAATTGTTGCATTTCCAGAAATAATCTTTAGAATTGAATTTTCTTGTACTTTAAATTTTTAAAGTACAAGAAAATTCAATTCTAAAGATTATTACATACTTTCAATGTCTTTTTTGCTTGCCATGTTTAATTTAATTATATTTTTTAAGTATAAATATATAAATCTGTAGATATATATTTATAAATTTTTAAGTTCACTTTTAAGAAATATTTACGTCCGTTCGTAAAGAAAACTATGCTTATTGTAATTAATTTCATTTTTATAAGTTTTATGTTTTAAATATTTTTCATACAAATTTTGTTTTATCATTGATGATTTTATTAGTCTTTTGGTCATCCACGGGGATAAAAATGACTTAGAATTTATTATTTTTACATTTAAAGGAAATACCTTATCATACATTTTATAAAATTGGTTCAGAAATAAATCATAAGCACTAATTACATCATGAGATAGTAAAATAAGATTCCAATCGATGGATTCATTTAATAACTTTTAAATAGGCTTATAGAACTTTTATCAGTTTGTCTCATGAATACAGTTGATTCGAGGGTAGTATTATTAGGAGCTATCAGTAATAAGGAATATAGGAAAATGATCAGTTAAGTCATAATACCCATTTTATAACAGCTATTATAAAAATTGTTAGTTATTACGTTATCTGGTAATGTTGATTATATTTTAGTTACTTTTATTGCTTTGTTTATAGTTGCGATGAGATTATATTCGAGAAGAATATCAATAAAAGATTTGCATCACTATTTAAAAAGTAGTTGAGTAAGTCAATGTTCATATCTTCAACTACGTAAACATGTTTCCGCAATAAATTTTTAGTGTTTGAAAATGTGCGCAGATAAGTTTTGAATGATTTTAAACTACCAGCTGGCTGTCTATAAATAGCATTGATGCCAACATTTTTTGTAAGTTTAATTATTTTCTCAACACATAAAGACTCACAATCTGTATCGCTTACATTAAAATCGTTACGTTTAATAAAATAAAGAGAATTGTGGAAGTAAATACCAACGCCACATCTACGCAAACATTTGATGAACCGATACATCCCGACGGGCATTTGTTTTTAAAAGTTACGTTCTAAATGTGTTTTAAATGTCTTTTAAACGTCTTTTAAACATTAATGTTTAAAAGACGTTTAAAAGACATTTAAAATACATTTAGATCGTAACTTTTAAAAACAAATGCCCGTCGGGATAACTTGTTAACTCAAAATTAGAATTTTTTTCATTGCTTTTAAGCCAAGTTTCTGTGAAACAAATTATTTAAATTCACAATTAAGTTCCATCAATAAACATTTAAAGTTATCGAAATTGTTATTCATACTTCGAATATTAATATGCAAAATTAAAAATGTATTCTTATTCTCACAAAGATATAGGGTAGATTCAGATATTGAATAGTACTCACTTTCTAAAAGGTTTTTAACAAAGTTATCAAGGTTAGTTATTAGTGTTGGCATTTTCAGCATTAATATTCATGTTATAAAAGAATATGTTCTCCATTTCCAAAAGTTAAATTAGGGGAAAAAAAAAAAAAAAAAAAAATTAAATAAACTATTATAAATAAAAAGAAAAGGCGCGGTTAAGCTAAAAGAAATATATATTACTTTACTTTTGGAGAACAATTAACTATCAACCTGTCGTATGATATATAAGCAAATTTCCCACTTTCTCGAACTTTTTTTTATTTCCATCCACAATTCTTTTCTAATTTGTACCGTCTCTGCACAATAATCCTCGTTGATTTAAATGTTTTTTCTTTTTAATTTTGGTGAGTTTTTAAGATGTTTATCTTATCTTTGTAATTAAGCAATTTTAATTCTATAGATCTGACTTTTTTTCTGTCTCTGATTCCCTGACCCTAACCCTGACGGATTATCTTTTCCTGGAATTCCGGATATTTTCTTTAACTTTTAGTTTTTATAAATATCCAAAGTATTTTCAATACATGCAAGTTGGGGTATATATTTTGTAATATTTGTTTTTTAAGCTGTTTCACTCATCACTCGTAGAAAAATTATGAAAAGTGTCAAAAAAATTTAGAAACAACTTAGCTAAAAGCGAAATTAATATAAAAATAAGGGAAAACAAATTCCGGATTTTCTACGAATATTTTATCCAAACATTTTTCTGGATTTTTAAAATATGATGATGATCTATGTAGATTACTTTTATTTCATTTCTTTTAAATTATTTTTGTTTTAATTTTAGTGTTTTAAAAATTTTACTTTTAAAAAATTATTTTACATAAAGATTTTTAATTTTTTAATAATTAATTTTTATTCAGGAGTATAATTATAATTATAGTGTTTAATTTTTTGTAACGATCCATACGCTTTGTTTTCTTATAAATCGAATTTAAGTGCAGCGCAAAATGTCTTTACCGATAGAAACCACTCGAAAAAACTTTTGATATTTATTTAAGTTTACTTTTTAGTTTATCGAAAGCTATGTATTTATATAATACTACTATAAATAAAATACGCCTTTCAATATATAAGCCTATATTATATAATAATGTTTATAATAAATAGCGTGTGTATATGCACTAATTTTGTAATATATATATAATAATTTATAAATTTTAGTATAATTTTTTTTTGTTCTTTTTTAGAAATAATTTTTTTATTTAAATAAACAAAATTAATTATTTTTTGTTAAAATTTATGTTAAAATTTAAGCGAAGCAAAATAAGGTTGTTGGTAAAATGCAAACCGGTAAATTGCGAACCATAGTACTGTTGGTTGTTAATGATGTAATATTTTTCATATTCCGTTTGCCGTTAAATTGTTTATTTTACTATATATTTTATGGACTTCAAACAGAACATAAATTATATTTATTTTAAAAGAAATACTAATCTAATTTAAATAAAATATATCAAATTAAACTATATCTAATTTAAATTAAAAAACTGACAAGCAAACATTTTTTTAAATATCCTAACTGTATTGGTCATTAAAATATTTTCCCTAAAACATTAAACCGATACAACACGCGATCTACCGGAATATTTGAAAAAACCTTTCCGAACATCAAAACTTACGATGCTATAGAGCCATTTTACAAGCCTGAGTGGTAAACTTAAAGAAGCTAATACCTCTTAAAAATTTAAAAAGAACATAATCGAACATATTGCCAATCAAGATTCTTTACATAATTTTTTCTAATAATACACTTTTATTTCCAATTTTAATTACCAAAGGTTACTGATGATAAGATTTTATCTTATTTAGGTTCTCCGGTCTCGTAACTATTATAAATAATGAAATGTACTTGTATTTAATATTTTTAAATATTTTATCGGAAATTACCTTTAATTGTAAATGGTTACTCGACAAAAATAAATTTAAAAAAAAAAAAGAAGTGTGTTTTGGTTCGCAAAACGTTCGGTTTGCAGTTCGTATTTTACCGACTACCACAAAATAATGGCAGAATTTATTGTTATAAAATTGCCGTTCGCTAATTTCTCGTGTTGGTTGTAGTTTTCTTGAACAATCCTTTTAATGAAATTTTGTTACTTAAATTGCCACAACATTTTGTAGAAAAAATCGTTTTTTTAACAAAATTTTCACCATCGTAATGCTTATTTACAGCTCTTCCTAATGATATATACTTATAAACAATTTTTACGCACGTCCCTAATATAAACAACTTGAAAAACTGCGGAAAGACCTTTTGATCGTGGTTGATGTTTTGAACAGAGTAGAGTAGTCTAAAAAAAACTTAAAAAACAAGAGAATCAAAGTTAATAAACACAGCCATGCTTAAAAGTTAATAAACACAGCCATGCTTAAAAGTTAATAAACACAGCCATAATTAAAAAAAAAAAGCTCAACAATTCTTTTTTATTTTTATGAACTAAACTAAAATCTTTCCCTACTTGAGAGAAGAACGTTTTGTTAAATAATTGCTTTGAAAAATCGAAAATCAAAACTTTTAGCTCGATACAACCAATCTAGCTTTGATATGTGATTAACAAATTACTGCATAAAGTAAAACTATAACACTGTTTAGTATATAGAACTGAACACAAAACAAATTTAGAAGAATATGCATGTTGCAAAAATTGACCTAAAGAAGAGCCGCTCGTATGCCAACAAGACAACACTCGTATGCCAACGCGACAACTATAAAGCTATCTTGGGCCAAACTAACGCCTTAAACTAAATTAAAAACTAACGCCTTAAACTAAATTTAAAACTAACGCCTTAAACATAATTAAAAACTAACGCCTTCCACTTAATTAAAAACTAACGCCTTAAACTTAACTAAAAACTAATCTATTTAAGCGTATAAACCATATATAGGCTGAAAAACGAATAACCGTATAAGATTTATATACGCATTAAAATGTAAATACATTGATATTTTCTACGCGTTAAATTGTAAATACATTGCTATAATTTATTCATTTTATTCATCTATTCTTACAACTGGTATCGATGAAAAATCTAAATCAATTTTTGACGGAAATACAACTTTAAGATCACCTTGTTCGTCAACCACTGATACTCTTTCAAGAACCAATCCTCTCTTTTGATCGTCTTGTTTTGATTCAAAATCCATCAAGAATAAGTTCTTGATTAGTTCTTCTAGAACATATTTACATTGAGGCAAACTTAATGGTGAAGTTACTTCAATAAAAACGTCACTTATTATTGCTTCCGTCTAAAAAAAAAATTAATTTTAAGACTATCATTTAAATCAATTAATATCATTAATATCCATAACCATAACTTTTGATAAGTACTATCTCTTATGCCAAACACCATCATAAAATCTATCGATGTCAAAAACAACCATTATTTATCACTTAGACTATCACCATTATCACGCATCACCATCAATAACGCACATTAATATCAATTACTTTTACCATCACAATTACAGCTATCATTAATATACAGATATATTTCATTATTTACCTAATTACTAAAACAATAATATGGTAAATAAATATTGGCACAACTAATGTCTTTTCTCTATAAGTGATATTTCGGCTCAATTAGTTTGATAATGGCTCTCACTATATGAGCCGAAATATCACTTATAGAGAAAAGAAATAAATAGTATGATACCGTATATGATGTTTTAATGCTTATAATTACACATACTATTAAAGATGTCACATAAATTTTATATATATGTATATATATATATATATATATATATATATATATATATTTATATGTGTATATAAATAAATATATATATATATATATAAATATATATATATAAATATATATATATATATATATATAAATAAATATATATATATAAATATATATATATATATATATAAATATATATATATATAAATATATAAATATATAAATATATATATATATATATATATATATATATATATATATATATATATATATATATATATATATATATATATATATATATATATATATATATATATATATAAAATATACAATTGAAACGATACAGAAAAAACTTATACGGAAAAAACTTTTTTTATTGTTACGACCGCGTGTATCTAATCTTCAGGTTTGTGGTTGCTCAATAGAAATTTATTTTCGTGACGACACTTTAGAGATCAACTCAGTTTTTTTATTGATCTTCAGCATTTTTATAAAGCAAAATAATCAGTTTTTCATATAAACACTGTAAACATTTTTTTGTTGTATTGTTGTAGGCGGGGGCTTTTTTTAGGATAGACCAAGTTAATTCTGGTGTTTCAGTTTTTCTCTAGTTTCCCATATATGTTTTAAGAGAGTGGTTGCATTTGAAAGTTTCTTATTTGAAAAAGATTGCTTGTGGTTTGCATACCTCTTTTCCCACACTCCTTCTGATAAACCAATGTATGCTTTGCTGGGTGTGTTTGGGGAAGATGTTATACATTTGTAAATGATGTTTGTCGCTCTAAAATTTTTATTCAGCGGACAGATTTCTTTTTGTTTGCAATTGCAAGGGAGATTTTCAGTGGTGTTAATTAAATTTATATTTTTGTTGTGGCTTTTTATAATTTTTGAAATGTTGTTTGAGCAGCTGTAGCTAATTTTTGTAGTGTTTTGATTGAATAATTTATGTAATGTGTTTAAAGGTGGGAAATGTTTATCTTAATTGCAAAAAGATTTGGCCAACATTGGTGGAGACGCTTTTATTGTAGGGTGGGCTAAACCAAATTATATTCCTTTTTCTTTTTGAAGGTGTCTTATTTTTTGGGTTGTACTTTAAGTTAAAGTTTTTAGAACCGTTTTGTTTAAGTGCTTCTTCGTATTCTGTTTTTGAAGCGTTAAATATTTTTTCATTGGAAGAATTTTACGATAATCGATCATTAATGGAGAGAGGGATCTGCTTAAGAACTTGGGGCGGGTGATTTGATTTGGTCTGGGTGTAGAGCAGTTGGTCATTTTGTTTTTTAAAAGGTTGGTAGGAGCTTTTTTGAAGATTAAAAGTTACGTCAAGAAAATTTTTATTTAGATTTTGGATATAGAAATCTAAATAAAAATTTTTTATTTAGATTTCTATATATATATATATATATATATATATATATATATATATATATATATATATATATATATATATATATATATATATATATATATATATATATATATATATATATATATATATATATATATATATAATATATATATATATATATATATATATAATTGCAATAGAGCTTGCAGGGTTTTTATGCTAAAGAATAGAATTGATTTTGGAATGCCCTACATAAATGATGCTTTACATAATCTTACGTTGACAAGTTTTATTTGTGCATTTACAGCAGCATTGAGTTTCTGGTCATTCCTTTTCTGGTAATTGCTTGTTTCCCATTGTGTGAATCTTTTTTGATTGAATGAGATAGAGAGATTAATTTTGTTTTGTTTTTAAGTTATTAACAACATACATCGTAAAGGTGTATGCACTGATGTGGTTCAACATTAAAACAAATTCTTCATATACAAATGGTGCAAAACATTTACTAAGTTCAATTAAACCTCGATACCTTTCTAATGAACTGAAAAGTGTTGTTTATCCTGTAATTCAACGAAATGCTTATTTCGCTCACCCTTAAAATCTGTTTCTATTCCTCATTACAGACGAGCGTCAGCACATTTGTGAGCTTGGAATTCGTCGAATTTTGAAAACAAGAGAAACAGAAACTACATAGTCATCTGTTTGACAATTTCAAGAGCCAAAACTAAATTTTGAAGCACATGTGTACGAGTTAATTGATTGGCCAGCAACAAGCATTACAGAACCGCCTTTGACAGCTGACATTACGGATGAACAAATGAAACTATTCGTGGTAAGTCGTACTCCACCTATATTCAAATTTCCAAAGTTTCCATGCCATACACAGTCTGTAGAACGATGTGTAAAATAAGTAACTGAATCAGCGTCAGCAGTTTGTGGTCAAAAATCAAGAGATGGTTTTATCAGATCAAGGTTGGAAGCGCGTTCAATTATGTTGGCATTCAACACTAAATCAAAATGACGTGTGATTGTGCAATCTGTAGTAGAAACAAGAAAATTTACTTAAAGGATCAAATTCAATGCATTGTAATTATACAAAGTGTACATGTACTAACATCATGTACGATCATGATTATTAGACTAACATTAGTGAATAAATGCTTTGTGGAATTGAATGCTTTTTATTTTCAGTCAGTACATTGAAGCTTTGTATCTATAACATACCTTTTATTAAAATGGTGGCCACTTTGAAATAGGGCAGACTCCAGAGTTGCTAAGAATTTTGCTAAACTGTTAAAATAATGTTTTTATGATGTTGCATTTTTTTTTAACATTCTCATATATAATAATTGTTAAGTTGCAAAAACATTGCAGCTATTTTTTGTGTATGACAACATTTTCCCGCAAAAAATGGACATTTTTATTGAAATTTGGTCATTTTGGATTTCGGTAAACATAGCAGTTACTTAAAACTTTGTAAATACGATGATGCAGGATATTTTTTGTATACCCATATATAATTTAGTTGTAACAAAATTTTACTACTATTTCATTATCTATAGCAAGATTTTTCAGAAGAAAAAGCTGCCATTTTGGATTTTAGTTTTGGGGACCTCAAGATAATTTCCAAAGTTTAAATATTTTCACACGATGATTCTATCTTACCAATGACAACTTTTTTTCACTAAAAGAAATCTAAAAAAAAAAATTTTATTTTCACATAGACAAATGATCTACCCTAATATATATATATATATATATATATATATATATATATATATATATATATATATATATATATATATATATATATATATATATATATATATATATATATATATATATATATTTATATATATATATATATATATATATATATATATATGTATATATATATATATATATATATATAATATATATATATATATATATATATAAATATATATATAAATATATATATAAATATATATATAAATATATATATATATATATATATATATATATAAAAATCTAAATAAAAAATTTTTGTTTTTCACATAGACATGCGATCCACCCTAATATATATATATATATATATATATATATATATATATATATATATATATATATATATATATATATATATATATATATATATATATATGAGACGAGGTAAACATGGAACAGATGTCTTTCTTTTCAGGACAAGTACAGGCATTTCTAGATAAAGAAATGAACAACTCTGAAATAGCATGAAGATTGGGTTGTTCTTGTAAAAAAGTTATCAGTACTATTAATTTATTTAAAAACACTGGTTCATTAAGCAACCAAAAAAGCAAGTCTTGCAGATAAAAGACAGCTCCCAGAGAAGACGCAGTCATTGTCTATATCACTAATTCTTTTGCTGGCGCACCAAAAATTAGATATCAAATTGCTCAAAATTTACAACTCAATCTGTTTGTCAGCACTGTCAAAAGTCGCTTACGGGAAAATAAACTATTTAGAAGAGTTGCCCAAAAAAAACCAAGTGTTAAAATGTGGTTTAAGGCTAACAAGATTGATGTTTTAGAATGACCCGCACAGTCACCAGACCTAAATCCGATAGAAAATTTGTGGTATAAAGTTAGCAAAAACATAAATCAATCAACTGCAACAAACTTAGACCAATTTTGGATTGAAATAAAGACTGCTTAGGACGCCGTTACGCCATTATGCCTAAAATTGATGTTTTTTTCATTGTTAAGCAGTCATTGACTCATAAGGATTTAATTAAAATTAAAAAAATTGTAAAAACGATTTTTTTTTTAATTTAAAATATTTATATTAAACAAAAAGAGATAAAAACAAAAAGAAAGAGAGAAAAAATATTTATATCAAACAAAAAATAAAGAGATAAAAAAGATTTATTTAACTAAAGAGTGCAAATCTAATCTAGACACAGCGTTTTGCAAATTGATATATTTTTCAGAGATGGATTATTCAGATGAAGTTCAAGATAAAAAAAGTTTATTTTTCTTTTTCTGAAAAAAAGACATTTATGGGGGCTATAACACCAAGTTCCTTACTTTTTTTTCTCTAAAAGGTTTGTTACATTAAACTAGTAGTACGTTAATACTACTGACAAACTCTATTCTGGCAAGGAAAAAACTATTCCAATATGTTCATTATCAAAATTGAATAATTATGACATAAGCTATAATTATCTATTTTTTATAATAACATATGTTATATATCATTATTATAATAGCATATGTTATTTGTATACTTATTAATTATATGGGTAATAATTGAATATAAATATTTTAATTGATAATTGGTTTTGGGTAATTGGTTTTTTGCAATTATCATTGTTTGTAATTATATTTGGTTGTTATCATTGAAAACTTACTGAAAATTTAAACATTTAACAGAAAGTTATGCGAATGCAAATTGTGTAAATAAAATTTAAGTAAAAAAAAATAAAAAAAAAGTTTTTTGAAAAAAAATTTTAAATTAAAAGATCACTAAATATTAATTTACCTAACAAAGTTTTCTTATTTATTTATACAAAGAACTTTTTATAGCAAATGGACAAATTCTTTAGCAGGGTGTGCTATTTAAATTGCCCCTATATTCTGTACCTTTAAATCATTTATATGATCGAATTTATTTTTAATGAAGTTAATTTTTTTTTTACTCAGTAATGTTATCTTTTAAAATTAAAATTTCTTTAGGCTAAAAAAGTTTAGATCTCAAAAACTCAGATCTCTGGAAAATACATCATTACCTATTAAACATCAATCTGTGCTACATATTCTGTCGCCACTGTATACATATATATATATATATATATATATATATATATATATATATATATATATATATATATATATATATATATATATATATATATATATATATATATATATATATATATATATACATATATATATATATATAATAAATATATAATATATAATGCATGTCAAGCAAAATAACAACTTCAAAAAAAGCTTTTATTTTTGAAAAGTTTTGTAAGAAAATATTAAAAAATATATTTAGCACTAGAGGTTTTTCAATGTTTCATCAGTAGTGCTAGTTTAAGCACTGTTATGCAAAAAAAAAAAAAAAAAATCATTTGTATTACAAAATATAATTTTTATTCAATTAAAGTATTGTTGCTATTAGTTATTATTGTCTAATGTTTTTTAAAACAGGAAGCGTTAATTAAAAGTATCATTCTTTTGTTTATGCTAATAAATTTTTATCACTTTTAAGGTCTAGAAAAACAAAAAGTTGGGAGAACGGTATACTTAATACAATTATATACTGTATACTTGATACAATTATGTATCTATTCTGAAAAAATTTTGCATTCCCACAGTACTATTTTAAATCGTTCTAAAATTTAAAAAATTTTCAAGTTTTTTAAGACTTTTCAAAATTTTTTTTTTGAATAACTTATAAAAATTATTTAATAACTTTGGTTGTTATTCCAAACTCTTCATACTTTATATTTTAATATTAGAAAGGGCCTATTATTTATAATAGTAATTCAAAAAAACAAAAAGTTAATGTATTAATCAGTGACAGTAATTTATGGTTCAAATTATATTTGACATTATCATTAAAATAGAAATATAATTCTCACTTTAGTTTGTTCACTGTTGGTAACCGGCGGAAACGATATGACTTCACCATCAGCATTTTTTAAGCAAGCAAATTGATTTTTACCATCAACCAAGTCAATATATCTAAATTAACCAGTATACCACATTACCAAACAATCACAAAAAATCTATTGTATATATATATATATATATATATTTTATTTAACATTTTATTTAATAATATATATATATACAGAGTGTTTACTAGCCCTGTGAGACCCCATCAAACACGGTATTCCCAAATGCTCATAAAATTAAAATTCCCAATTTAAAGAAGAAAAATATCCTATTCTTAAAATAAAGTTTGCTAAACTAAAGTTTAATAATAATTCTAAAAATTATTGAAAATTAGATATTATTAAAAACTAATAGAAAAAAAAAAAAATCTAATTTAGTGTGTAAAAATTGAAATAAAATCGCTGTTATTGGTACAACTATGCGATTGCATAACTGCAAAAATATCTCTTGGAAAAGCATTTTGAGAGTTGGGATTTTCCCAATGATTTTAGGGATTTTCTCAGAAAGTTGCTTTTAAAACTCATTTCTCAAAATTTGCCAATAATTTTTTGGAATGCGTTCTAACAGCAAATATTAAAAAAATAAGCAAAAAATAAAGTACAATATTACAAAATAACAAACTTGCTTGGTTTAATACCCAAACGTGATATTTCAGCTTATATAGCGAGAGCCATTATCAAACTAATAAAAAAGGGTTATATTAGTTTGATAACATCTCTCACATTATAAGCCGAAATATCACTTAAAAAAAGAAATAAATAGTATGATACCGTTATATGATGTTTTAATACTTATAATATTATTACACATACTATTAAAGATGTCACTTGAATTTTATATATATATATATATATATATATATATATATATATATATATATATATATATATATATATATATATATATATATATATATATATATATATATATATATATATATATATATATATATATATATATATATATATATATATATAGTCTTGCATGGTAGTTGTAAAGTTTTACCCATAAACTATTGTTCTCAAGAGCGTGTTAATAAGCCTGACCAGAAAATGTTAAAAAACTTCAAAAAAATTTTTTTTTTTAAAAATGATAGACTGCCTGCCCAAACCAAATCCTTAGTCGATGTAGCAGCACTCCCTTTCGAGTCAGGCTATTTGTCAGTTGATGTAGCAGCACTCCTTTGCGAGTCAGGCTATTTGTCAGTCGATGTAGCAGCACTCCGTTGCGAGTCAGGCTATTTGTCAGTCGATGTAGCAGCACTCCGTTGCGAGTCAGGCTATAAGATAGTCGATGTAGCAACACTCCCTTGTAGCAACAGGCTATAATATAGTCGATGTAGCAACACTTACGCATGTTTTAAAAATGTTTTTTAATAAAACAAAAACACCACTAATTAAAAAAAACTTTCTAGTCATTATTATTGCGGTTTTTTTAAAAAACAATAAAATTTAATGTACTTCCGCATTAATTTAATTGCTTTGACATTTCGATGACAGACAAATACAGCTTAAAAGACGAGGTAATAAAAATTGTAGTCGAATTTATTAGGTAGCTCTTCAGCATTTTTATAAAGTAAAATGATTATTTTTAACTAAATTATAGAAATTGAAACTTGATTTAACTAAATTGAAAATTGATTTAACTATATTATAGAAATTGAAAAACAATTATTGAAAGCAAATAAACCAAAAAAATAATTTAAACATTTTTAGAACAAAAGCTTATACAAAATTAATATTATTTTCAAAACGATCTTGATAAAATCATGATATAGTTATCTTCATCACCAATATCAAATTCATATGAATTTTTATCGCCTTCTGTTATCAAACTCATTTTGATTTGATGCACATTTTCCACAACCCAATAAATATGGTGCAACCTTCAAACAGTCTAAATTCTATTTTTACAATTTTTATTCAGCGGGTCAGTAAAGCTATATCATTTTTAGTAATAGTTTTGGATAAAGAGTCTAGAATGTATAAACTCACCAGTTTACATACTTCAACTCCGTCATATATATATATATCCGTCATATATATATACATATATCCGTCATATATATATGTATATATATCCGTCATATATATATCCGTCATATATATATCTGTCATATATATATGTATATATATCCGTCATATATATATATATATATCCATCATATATATATATATATATATATATATATATATATATATATATATATATATATATATATATATATATATATATATATATATATATATAATAGAATAAAAAAATAATAATTTTCCAAATATAAATAAGTATATACAAAATAATGCATTTACAGTATGGGTTTTTACAACTGATAACTCTGATTTTAACAATTATAAATGTTTTATTATCAGTAAGTGCAACTTTTATACTGTAATTACTCTTGTAAACACTGTATACAATGGTATTTAGAATATATTCAAAATCGATCAACCTTTTTTTGTAGCAAGTTGGTTATTTATTATTTTTTTAAAACATATAGCAAGTAATTATAAGTGTTATTGAAATATGTATTAAAACATTAGTTAAATACTTATAAAGAAAATAAAAATCATTCTATTAACTAAATTTAGTACCTTTATTCTCCTCTCAAATGTCTATATTTCCAAACAAGCGTTTTATATATATTAACTAAATTTCAAAACATTACTAGTTATTTAGTACCTTTATTCTCCTCTCAAATGTTTATATTTCCAAACAAGCGTTTTATATATATTAACTAAATTTCAAGACATTACTAGTTATTTAGTACCTTTATTCTCCTCTCAAATGTCTATATTTCCAAACAAGCGTTTTATATATATTAACTAAATTTCAAGACATTACTAGTTATTTAGTATCTTTATTCTCCTCTCGAATGTCTATATTTCCAAACAAGCGTTTTATATATATTTGTATTTGATCTTTTATTTTTTAAATGTTGTAAACTGCAAATTTCAGTACAAAGCCACAAGCAAAATACTATATATAAAAATTATTAAACTTTATTCGCAGTTTAGAAATGGAAAGTTCTCAGGAAAAAAAAAAAAGCTACAGTTTACTAGACTGGTCCTTGTTAAATGCATACAACTTTAAAACATAAAAAAATTAGGTTATGTGCAAGCAAGTTTGCCACATGTTTGCTCATTCAATGAGAGAATATCTTGAAAACTTGTATGCACTTCACACGGACAAGATTTGTTGGTAAAAATGATACTTGTGCTCATTTGTCTATTTTACAGGTTTTGAATATTTTGCATCAGCTATAAGTTTACAACATGTAACACCAACAGGGGTGACAGCGGGTTAAAAATGAACATTAGTATCAAGTTGCTAAAAGTTTAAGAAACAAAAACAATAGAGCTATATATTGTGTTACTTTGATTAGTTGCAAAACTGAGCCGGTAAAACATCTTCATTTTAGATATTTCAAGAACAGCCAAAGTTTAGGCAAAAATCTATTGCAAAATAAATCCCCCCATAAAAAAAAAAAACACTATGAAGTATCAATATCATCTAAAATTGGCTAATCATTACTCTCACACCATTTTAAAAATACGAATATATCATATAAAGTAAAAAAATTAAGATAATTACTGCATAATGTTGATCAGGCATTCATACTGTCTTACCAACTTTGAATAACTCAATTGTCATAATAATTTTTATAGTGATTTTTTTTCTATAGTCAAAAATATTCTGAACATGTTTTTAATTTAGTGCAATTAATTAACATCATTTGTAGTTGATGGAGTCCCCTTTTGCACTATTATGTAAAATGTGCTAGTAGACTAGTGGTAAAAAATTTGGCTCGCAATTAGAAGGTTGGGGTTCAAACTACCTCTGCTGAAATTACTGTGCTCAATCTATTTCTCCGCACAATGCCTTTGTTTAAAATTTTTAGTTGTTAATGTTGTTTATTAGTAAAATTGGTAATGTTAAGGATTGAGACAAAATATTTTTAAAAAATGAGTTTCTCCTTTGACTGAAGCGATCATCGGAGCAATAGGAAGGTGAATTTATGAAATTAAAAAAAAAATTATTGTACACACATTTGGGTTGGGGTTTTTTTAAAAAACCCTGGTTTTTTCCAACCCTGGGGGGACCTGTTGTACTTTTAACCATGTTGTACCTTAGGTCACTCTACCCTGACATTCTACCATTATTGTTTTAAAAAAACATTAAGCGTCATTTGAAATAATAGTCTATGACAACTCTGACATGAATGAATGACAACTCTTTTTAACGTAAAAGATCACACTTGGGATGGATTGTATCGATCCAAGTGAAATTATAAGTTTTGGCTTTTAAAATACTTGTGTTAATCTTATTTTGATTTCAAAACAGGCATAAATAATTTTCTAATTCATCTACAACATTATAAACATTACCCAACATCTTTATTTTGTAATGGAAAAATTCGGATGATTATTTTTTATCATAAATAGAGATTAAGACAATATTTGTTAAAAAAACCCATCTCATGTACCTTTGACCAAACTAGGACATTGTACCTTGGAACAGGAAATATTGTTTCCTCGGTTATTTGCAAACTTTAAGAGACCAAATTTGAGAAATTTTTTATTGAGTTTATCGGGTGGCTGTACTTTATTGCTCTTGAATGCAAAATTGTTTCTAGTATTATGGAAATGAAATCCATTGAATTGCAATTCCTGGACCACTATTACATTTGAAATAGGGTTTGCAATCCCGGACGGTTCTCAATCCCAAGATTCTGGGATTGAGAAAAATTGAAATTGGGGGATTGAAAAACAGATATGGCATCTATATAGTATTAAAAACAGTACACTCTTAAACAAAAATATATTTTATAAATAATGCTGTTTGCATTACATCGTTACATGCATAGAAGAAAAACATGTTAATTAATGTTGAGAAATTTCATTAGAAACAAGTAAATATATCATGTTTCATGTATTTTGATCTGTGACTTCAGGAAGCACAATGTGTCGAATGTTTCATTGCCCAACCTGTTACGAATTTTATTATTAAACAATGCAGCGGAAGAAAATGCCCGCTCAGCCTTGACACTTGTTGGTTTCCCTTCATTAGAAATGAACAAACTCTTTCTAAATAATCACCACGTGTACCACCAATTTCAAATAATATCATTTCTTTTTGAATTTTAGATAACAATGTTTCATGTTTAATTGGTTGCATCAGTGATTACGCTTCTTTAATTACATGATTAAGCTTAAAGTGTTATTTTTAGTTTTAGGCTCTTCAATAAAATCTAGCATATCAGACTCAACTGATGCTCTTACTAAAGCAGGATTGGAAGCGTTTAATCTTTCCAGCAATTCTACCAACAGTTGAATTGACATTTAAATGAACAAGGCACTATAATTATTTCTTCATCAACTTCAACAGAGCTTCAACCGTTATGCAGGTATTGCAGAAGTCCACTCATATCAGTTCGACGTTCATGTATACAAGCCATTAAAGCTGTACCCATTTCAATGCTTGTGTTATTGTCAGCATCTTTTAATTTTGTAAGCATAAAATTAATACCAATGTCAGCTGTAAATAGGTTAGAATCTCGGCAACAAAGTGCTTTAACCGTTGCTTTAATAGGAACTAAATTTGTAATAATGTCTGATAATATTGTCAAATCATCATGCAACAGAACCATAGAATAATCTTGCACTGTGTAAATATCAATTAATGATTTTTGTATACAATTTTTTACTTTATAAAATCGTTTAAGCATTAACAGAAGGCTGCTCCACCTTGTTTTGCAATCCATAATTAAAGACAGTTGTTTTCCAAATTCAGCCTTAATATATTTTTGTAAGATGTCGCTATTGTAGGTGATTGTATAAATATTATTATCAACTTGCTAACATTTTTAACGACTGGTCCATTAAAAAAGTGCGCAAGAACTTTTTTAATGGATTAGACCAAAAGTATGTTTCATAATGAATTTAATTTAGTTCAATTTTAGATATTAAAGTTTCATGATTGAAATCCAGTGAATCTTCCTCAATATCCTCATTCTGGAATGAATCACTTTCAAAAAAATCATTTTTAAATTCAAGGTGATTTGCATCAAATTCTCTTTTTTTATAAAGAACATCAATTACAGCAAGTTGTATGCCGTGGGCAAAAAATAATTGTTGATTTGCAGCCAGCAACCTTACAAATTTTTTCATAACGCTAGCTCCGCCGTTCATTATAGCCACAATGTCGCCATGTAGATCAAGACAATGGTCTTTTTTTTCTAATGGTTTAATGCACTTTTCTGCTGGCATTGACCCTGCTATTTGCACGAAACCTAAACTCTAAACCTGAAAATTTTTTCCATGAATGTTAATATTCATATAGCCATGATTTCGAAGTGACCATTCGTCAAAAGACAAAGAAAATTTGTCTCTTATCCAGAATTCGGTACTCTTGAGCGCTTAATTTTCGCTGAACTAAACCTAATCTTACTTTTTTGTTGTACTTTATTACATGATTACAAATTGTGTTTACTGACGTTGGTAGATTTCTGAATCCCATAGCAGTTAGAGTGGGACGTAAATCTATTGAAGAACAAATCACATTAAATGAAAGTCCATCAGACGCCATTAGACAAGCAAGTGTAGCATAAGGTGTTTTATCTTCCTTTTCAAAAATCAAAAAGTATTGTTAGTGGTTTAGATTTCTTTTTTGGTGGTTTATCTGATGTGCTTTCTCCTGTAATATTAGGTTGGGTTGGACTCAACCTTCACATTATGCACCAACAACATGTGTATATGAAGTCCTTTTGTTAAAACACCACAGATTTTTAAAATCTTTTTGCAGTTTGACAATTTAAACATCGCTGTTTGCCCTTTCTCTTCTTGTAGAAAATATTTCCAAACAGCTGAGTTACTTTTAATTGTAAAATCCACATGTTTATTTAAGTTTTAATTTTAAGAATAAACCTTGTAAGAGACATGTGTTTTTTCAGTGTAAAAAAATTTATTTTGCAGAATTAATGAACAGAATAACTGAAAACTAAGGTGTTTTTCACAAGAAGATTTTTGAAGCGGATATGCTTAATGCAGTAAATTTTGTGCTTGAACAAAAAAAGAGTCTGCATGACATTACAACAGTGAAGCTGCATGACATTACAACATTAAAAAATCAACTTTGATATATAAGTAAAAGCAGTTTACAAAATCTGGAAGTTGCAAATATTCATACAAAACCAAAAAATATTCTCAACAGAAGAATTAATTTGGGTAAACCACTTGGCATATGCTGCAAATATGTATTATCAACTTATATTAAAGAAGATCATATCATTTGCATATGAATATGCTTAAAAAATCATAAAAAAATTTTATGAATGAAAAATAAATTTTATTGAAAATTGAAATTTTATGGATGAAAAATAAATGTGCTGTTGTATAATGGCTGCAAGCATTTTTCCAAAAGATAAGTTATCTCTATCTAAACCACAGCCTACAAGGTAGATCTTCTGCATTCAATAAAGAAACCATAAGACTTGTATATAAAGAGTTTTAAAATGTTATCATTTTGAACCATCAAACATTTAGAACTGCGATGAAACAGAAATAATCACAGCCCACATACCATCAAAAGTTCTGCAAATGGCAAAATACAAAAAGGGAGCATGACTAAAAATATTTTTACTGATATTGACTTTTTAGTTGCAAATATTACTGTTAGGCCAACAATAAATACTGAAATTTGCATTTCTAATGATAGTTAAACTGCTCTTGCCAGTTTACCATCAATATTGTCTATTGTTTTAGGGGAAATTGTCTATTGTTTTAGGGAAAAAAAAAGAAAAAAAATGTAAAACATTATTTTTAGTCAGTCTGACAAGTGTTTAAATGATGAAAGTTCTGATAAATTGATTTTTTAGTAAACATACTTGATAATGAAAGTAAAATTGTTTCTGGAAATTTTTTAATTGTCAAGTTGGCAAGAAAAAACTCTAGACTTTATCTAGCAGAAGTTATAAAAATTGTTGGTATATTATAGCATGTCTTTGCGAGATTGTAAGGATTAATTTTTCTGATTTTTTTTTTTAGAAAATTAAGATTGCTTACAAAATAGTATTTTTTTATTGACATGAGGTAGGCCAGAAGTTTTATTGTCGTGAGGTAGGCCAGAAGTTTCTTTATAATATATAACAAACTAAAATAGTAAAAAGGTCTAAAGATGGCATTTTTTAATGGATGGATTTTTTAATGTCATTATGAAATTTTTTTTTAAAAAGAACAACATTTCATTGGTCAAAGATACAAGCTATGAATTGCACTTTTAATCAATTTTTTTAAAATACAGAAAAAAGATACTTCTTGGTCAAATGAGAAAAAAGTCTTCAGTATAATTTATATAATTAATAATTCTTATATTTTAATGGTTTTAATTTGTTTAATAGCCTGTACAAAAAACACCTTGAAGCAAAAAGTGGTCAACAGGTTCCTCCACCTTATTAAATAAAAACGTAATTGAGTCAATATGCAAACATTAAAAAGAAAACAAAACATACCTGTATAAACCAGTTTTAGGCTGTCGTTTTTTTTTAAGCCTAAGGTCATCTCGTTCTGTCTTTAGACGATCAATAAGTGCAGTTGATGAGACCTTTTTAGTTTGACCCAATGGTATAATTTCCAAACTATTAGGAGAAACACCTTCATAAGTCAAAGGAAATTTCAGCGAAATTGCATTATGTGTAGCTATGGTAGCTTTTGTTCGCATATCGCATTCATTCTCATGAAGTTTTGTCTAAAAGACAAAAAAAATTTAAACAACTACCATAAAGATAAATTAAAAAATATATATATATATATATATAAAAAAATATTTAAACAAATTAGACATTTAAAAATTTACCTGAAGCGTTATAAATTTTTTAAACACACTTAAATCCCTTAGATCTAAGTTTTTTACAACAACACAACAAATATATGATCTGACATCTTTGACATTTGCTTTTGAAATAATTTGTTTTGAATCTTTTGATTGCATTATATAAATTTTCTTTTCATTATCATCATCTTGAATACTGTCATCAGCTTTCTTTTTTAATTTTCCTTTTTTCCCCTTTTGGCCATTTGTATTTGTATGTTGTGCAATGTACTCCAAAATTGACTTAGTATTGCACTGGGTAGTCATCTTGCGAAGACGATTATCCTTTAATGGATTATCTTTTATATTTAGATCTTTCATTTTACGACACAGAGACAAATCAACAGCTATCTCTTTTAGAAGATTTTCTGAAAGATCTAAAACTTTTAAAGCAGTCATTGATGTTAACGACTGAGGAACAACAGAGATTTCATTTTTTGCAGCATACAACTCTGAAAGATTAGAAAGCTTTTCGAGTCCTGAAGGCAACTCACTCAAATTATTATGATCAATAAAGAGTATACCCAACGCTGGAAGGAAACCAAAATTTGGTAAGCTTTGTAAATGATTATTACCTAAATTAAATGTGTGAAGATGGGGTAACTCTAATGACATGGGAAGCGTTGTTATTTTGTTAAATGATAAATCAAGAAACTTTATTTTCTTTAACTGATTTAAATTTTCTGGAATTTCAACAATTTCATTTCTATGAAGAGCTAAATTTAATAAATTATCTAGAAGTGAAATTTTATCTGGAAGAATTGCAAGGCATGTGTTTGATATTTCTAAATAGTTCAAAGTGTGTATTCTAAATAAACTTTCAGGAAGTGGCGCAGTTTTTAATCTTTGTGAAACTGAATCACCATTTAAATGCAGCTCATGTTTATTTTCAGCAATAGCAGTTTCAATTTCTTCCCAGGATGCCATTATTTTATAAGCTGAAAATTTATAAATTGTAATCATCATCATCATCATCACCATCATCATCATCATCATCATCATCATCATCATCATCATCATCATCATCATCATCATCATCATCATCATCATCATCATCATCATCATCATCATCATCATCATCATCATCATCATCATCATCATCATCATCATCATCATAAACCAATCAATATTGAAGAGATTAAAAGAAAAAATTAAAGAGATAATCAATATAGAAAATCATAAAATCATTTATAACCTTCTCACTCAATTTTTTATAACTTTTTTTATGCACAATTTTTAGTAAACTTTTTTTTTCAAATCTTTAGTCAGTCAGAGCGAACAAATTATTGTTTAAAATAAAAAAGTAAATAAATAAATATATACCACAATAACTTATGTATTTTTTTTTTTATAAACTATAGACTTAATAAATACAAATCATAGTAGTAATATACAAAAAATAATTTAAAGGTCTATAGTAATACTAGATATAATACTTCGATTAAAATAATATTAAAAAACAAAAAATAGAAAAATTTTTAGCATTTTAGCTCAAAGCAATTATTAATTACCTAATTCGAAGATTTATGTAAAAAGTTTAAAATAAGAATAACTAAATATTAAAAAAGTTATCTATGCATAATAGCTTGGTGATGCAAGTAAGTCATTCATTTGAGTTAGTTGATCTTCGGTAAACTTTTGTCTGTGAATATGCCAACTATCGTGATGGGTTCGACGGAATTCTGACAATGCCTTTTTGACAGTAGCCTAAAAAATTTAACAAAGGCTTTAAATTAAGCATTCATATTTATAAAACATATTATTATAACATTACGTAACAAAATGTTATTTTTGTTTTGAATTTGGGTTTATGAGCTTTTTTATGGCCTGTTTTTCCAAAAACAAATAGAAAATGCTTTTTTGACTAGCAAAATGATATTTTGAAATTTGTGTGCTTTTTAGAAAGCTCTTGATTAATATTTACATTCAGAGTCTCAAATTCTCCAAAAAGTGTTTTTGAAATTATAATTTTGGATTTTAAATACTTTTATGGATGCTTATAATCTTGCCCTGCTTTCAGGTCTAGCCTAGGGGAGGGTGTATATGAAGCTTCTTGACTTGCTTGCAAGTATACTCAAATAATAAAAGATGAAAATCTATTACACAATGATCTTTTATGGCCTAAATATAAAAAAAAGAATATAAAAACTTGAATGACTACCATGTGTTGTAACTTTATCCAAATGGTTAAAGATTTAAATATATGAAGAATATGAAAAGGAAGTAAATGATATAAAAAAAAATTAAAGGAAAAAAAAAGAAAAACAAGAAAAATCTATAAGACAACAAATTCTTAAAGAAGAATATTTTGCTCTCTCCATCAGCTTTCACCTGCATGAGTTTTGAGTATTACTGTCGTGTATTTTTATTATTATTTTTATTAAAGGTTTTCCAGTTTAGCATTATCTTTACTCTCTAAAGAACATCTACAACTGCATACAACTGCAACATAGGTGTTTTATCTGGTGGTCTATATTATTTATACCTAAATTGTGAATGTTTTGTTTTTGCATTGTGCAAACCCATATAATCATGGAAAGTCCAGAAAGACCTTTCTAAAATATTCTAGAACTTTCAAGAAACTTTCAGATTTTTTTAAAACAGTCTAGAACTTTTCAGAAAATTTGAGAACTTTTTAAACGAAGTTTAAAGACCAATGATTTAATTAAATGGCTACAAAAGGTTATTTGAAACATTTTGTTACATATGAAGACAATTTATAAAGACAAGATCAAAAAAGTATTTAGTGAAAGCAAATCATAAAATGTGCCAAGCCTACAAGACATATTTCATGCCTGTTAAGAATCAGGACAAGTCTCTGAACCACTTTTCACAAGCGAGTATTGCAAGAGATCTCTTGAAGAATATACCTTCAAGAGAATAACTGTTTCTAGCTTATGTTTGCTTTATTTTGTAGAATTTGAACGGTTTAGATATATAGTTCATTTTAAGAAGTTGCAATCAACAAAGATTGAACATATATAACATATATGTAAAGGTAAAACATATTATTTGTTGATATTAAGCCCTCTATTAAGTGATGTGTGAAATTCCCTAGCTTCAAATTTAAATAATTAGTTTAATGTGGTATTTTTTAACTCGGTAAAAAGTTTTCTATCACAGACACATAAACACACACAAACACACACAAATAGATAAAATTATTTTGTTAAAATATACCTGAATCTGTGGATAGCTGTGAATGTAATTTCCTAAATCAAGCAATACCTCTGGCATCCAAATAGGAACTTCATATGGATAAGCTAATACACAAGCTGATAAACCAAGAACCCCACCATGTTTAATGTGAAAAAAGGATGTGTCTAAACAAGAATACCAAGGTCACAAAAAAACATCTGAGCACAAAAAACATATCAGCACAAAAAATAAAATTGACACAAAAATAATATTAACACACACACACACACAAAAAAAAAAACTCACTGAAATGAGGATCTTCAAGTATAACACCATATCTTAACTTTTTTACCTTTGTTCTAGCCATTTCCGAAAAAACTGTCTAAATTTATAAAAAAAAATGAGACTCAAAACAAAAACATAAATAATTTGAAAGTATAAACTTTAATAGAAAAAGTAAACTAAAAAAAAACAACTAAAACAATGAAAAAATAAAAATAAATATAGCACAAATCTGTACGCAAAGCTCCTTAGTAACAGTAAAGTAACCATAATGAATTAAACCACTAAGTAAAGTTGCAGCTTCATCTCTGACCTAAAAATTGCAAAAATTAAAAAATTGCATAACTTATTTAGTCTTTAAACAAAACATTTAAAAAAAAAAATGAAAAAGAAGTTACTTCAAGCTGTTCATCTTTAAGACGTTCTAAAACCAGGTCTTTTACTTCTTTTTTAATTACGTCATTGTTGAAAGTAAAAAAGTTATGAAAAATCATGATCTACAAAATACAAAAAATTTTTCACCATCACGACTTAAAAATGTTTTTATGAATTAAATAGTGTAAACAAGTTAAGTCTCTTAATAAAAAAATCGAAAGTAAAAAGATTGAAAGTAAAAAAATCGAAAGTAAAAAGATTGAAAGTAAAAGATTGAAAGTAAAATAAAAAATTAAAAAAAGTAAGAAAAGTAAAAAAAACTCTTAAATTTATTGTTCTAATAGTAACAAAAAATTTATAATAGTATCACAATTTCCAACACAACATTAACCAACTTATATTAACCAATATTATGTTAGTATTAATATTAAAATAATATAATATCATATTATATAACCTATCTTCATTTCTTAATTTAAAACAAAATAAATTTAAACAAATTCTAAAAAAAAAAAATTATTTTAATTTTTTATTATTATTAACTTCCTTTAGTTTTCCTTTTTTTTTTTAATTTACTATTTCTATAGAAACTTGAAAATGTTGAAACAAAGTTTAGCAAAATAATTTTTTTAAAACAATAAAGTTAAAGTTTAAAGTGCACTGCAAATAGCAAACATTATTATAAAGTAATTCTAATTTGAAAGTCATGCTTTTTTAACAAAGTAATATCTATTAAACTACATAATTACAAATTAATATCCTATTTTTTATTTTTATACTATTCATAACTGAATATACTATTTTAAACAAAATTTACACATTTAATCTGTTTACAAAAGTATAATGTTAAAATATACTTGGATTTATAACATTTATAGTAATAGAAAAGTCAAAATTACAAAAAATAAAATTTGTTGATCATAAATTTGTTTTTGTTGTTTAATTATTTTAATTTGATATTGTTATTTAATAATCTTAAATTAAAATATTATATAATAGTATTAATATTAATAATATTGTAAAGTTTTCATTTTACATTAACCAACTTAATGTTTGTATTAATATTAAAACACAAGTTTATTGAAAAATTCAAAACCTCAAAACTTTAGAGATCTTATAAAAAAAATTTAAAATTTTTTATTAAAACACAAGTTTATTGAAAAATTCAACCTCAAAACTTTAGAAATCTTATAAAAAAAATTTAAAATTTAAAAATTTATAAAAAAACTGTGACTTAACATAAAACTTTGGCATTTTCAATTAATTTTCAAAAAATAAATTTTGAGAATAAGTGACTTATTAGTTAAAAAGTTTGGCATTTTTTAACTTTTGTTAAGATAATAAGGTAAAACTCATGTATAAAAGATGAAACGTTAAACTTGCCTTTGTTAATGACAGTTAAAAATTATCCTGCAAAGTCTCTATAACCTACAAGATTTGGCAAAAAAAAAAAAAAAAATGACATTAACTGATTGCATCTATTTTATGCAAATATAAATTTTTTTTTTATTTTTTTTTTTACCAAATTTACTCTTAAAAAAAGGCTGCAAAAAATCACTATTAAGTTGGTAGTTACTGGAAAACAAAGAATGGAGTTAAAGACCAAGGAAACAGTTGACAAGACTTCAAAAGTTTTATATTGCATGAATCAGAAAAATAAGATGGGAGTGAGCTCCAAACAATTGAAGTGCAAGGAAAAAAACAGTCAAATAAAAGTTTTAAAAGCATGCAAGGACAAATAGAGTAAAAGGATACAACTTTGCTGAATGAGGAGTCAAGTCAGAATGAGATTTGGTTGAAAGAACTAGAGATGATAGTTCCTTTGAGCATCAAACATGATTGCATTTGTAGAAAAGAGAAAGAGACGCAGTCTTATGACAATAAGAGAGTGGTTCAAGCTTGGCAGAGCAAGTCCAAATACAAGCTTGGCAGAGCAAGTCCAAATACATTTACAATGTATTTTTTGACCTAGTTAAAAAGTTTTATGGGAGTTAAAATTCATAACTACTGCAAGCCTCAAGCTGTTACAAAAATAAGTTCAGATTCAACATTAGCTGCCTGTGCTAAGCAATTGAAAAGAAAAGATCATATTGATCGTAAGAGAGTAAGTTATAACATTTGGTTTGGAGAGAATTAAAAAGCACAATGGTTTAGAGAGAATTGAAGATAGTTCTGAAGAACACTTTTATAAGACTATGACAGGAATGTTGCCTGGATCAAACGCTGAGATCTAAAGAAGGAACAGCAAAATTCAAATTAGTTCCAAAAAGAGCAAGAAAGTCTGGTGCAATTTTACAAGAGCTAAGATTCAATCAATAGAAAGCTACTTCAAAGACCATATATATTTGTGAAAGATATATTGAAACAGTTTTGGTTTTTTATGTTTAATATTTTTGGTTACTATGGGCATGGTTTCAGTTAATAAGAACTAGACTCATTCCTAGATGCATGGTATCCAAAGCCATGAGCTATGCAGTTGTCTCAGTCCTGTTAACTAACTCAAAGTTGTAACGTAGAGCTCCTTGTGTGGTTTAAAATGTTATGTGGTCAAAAGCATTAACAAGGAACCACCCATGCGCAACAAAGCTCTGTTAATACTTTGATATTTTTCAGCTATTGATGGAATCAGCCTATCTGATAGCTATCACAGAGTTAAGCTGTATAATATTAACATTATAATCATCCAAAATGCTGTAAGCTCATTAGGAGATAACAGGAAGAGTGTAACTCTTCCTGTTATCTCCTAATGAGGTTACAGCATTTTGGATGATTATAATGTTAATATTTAAATGTATATTTTCTTAATGTTTTTTTAAAAGTATTCCATCGATGAGATCTCAGCCTCTAAAAAAACACATTTGTAAAATCTTTTATTATCAAATTTTTCAAACTGCTAACTTTTCAATGCTTTTTGGTGTCCACGGAGTTTGCAGTAATCAATCGAACATACTTTGCCTTTTGCGATCGTTTTAAATAAGCAATAATTTTGAATTCAATAATATAACAATAAAACTATTAAAGAACAGTCATTAAAACTACAATAACAGTGCTTTTTTTGGGAATGAATGCCTCCATTATCAACATATTTTATAAGTTTGTCTAATAGTTTACATTAAGTTTAAATTTGTCAATTTCAAATCAACAAATAAAATTTTATTTTAAAGAATTAAAAATCTTGCCGGCCAAAATGTCCGATGACTTTGTAAATTGATCAGACAATCTGAGGTTTTAGCAGGATAATGTCCGATGTCCGACTGTTAAATTAAGCCCTGCACAGTAACCAGTAATCTTCCAATTATATAACAGATAGGAACAGATACCACTATAGGCATGACAGATATTAGATAGTATTGATGGCAGGTAGAGATTGAGTAGAGAAAGGCTTGACTTACAACCACAGAAATAAAATAAAAACTCTGGAAGAACATTAAAGCTGCTTATAATCAACCATCAACATTCGAAGATGTGTAGGCAAATATCAGATATGCAGATATATAAAAATTCTGTCAATAATGGTGAAAAATCAGTAATAATGATCACTGATCAAAAATAACATCAAAATGAGCGAGAACAAAGAAAACAGCAATTAAGGTACAAAATCACATTTAGCTTAAGAATGTGTTTTTATTTTATAGAGGATAATTGAGTCAAACAACATTTACCCAGCAAGTCTAAAAATGATAAAATGTTGAACAACATTTCTTGTTTCTAAAATTGCTTAGTTTAGATCAATACTTTAAGGAATGCAAAAAAAATTACAAGTATCATAAATGCAAAGTAGATTTAAATAAGTTTTTGCTATCAGAAACATCTTCAAGAAAGCACAACAAAATAGTTTAAACAGATGAAGGAAAATTACTTAAAAAAACCAACTCTAATTTTTTCCTTAAAAGGTCAACAATTATCTCTGAACTCAAAAAAAAAAAAAAAAAAAAAAAATTACAAATGCTGATAATTAAAGCAAAAATGTGAAAATGTTTAAAATGATTTCAAGTTTACCCTCAACCACCATTAGCTTATAGAAGTAATTAGAATCTATATTGTGGAACCCAGGCTACTGCAACAAATAAGGTTTGAAATAAAGTCTTTTTAAAGTAGTGCACCATTTGCAGTGCTTTAAAAAAAATTTAAAGCAGTGCACTTTTTAAAGCAATTGGCATTAGACACAACTGTAAGAAACAATGACAGATAAATGAAGAGAATTAACTATTGAGATGGAAAGGAAATCTAATAATTTGGCTAGCATGTAGATCCAATAATTTGGCTAGCATGTAGCACGTAAGAAAAAAATAAAACAAGAAATAAAAAAATAAACATTTGCTAAACAAAAAAAATTTGGATTTTTCAGAAGCTTTTTTTGATTTAAACAGATTTTCGCTTTTAAAAAACAATTTTAATCTGAATCTCTAAGAGATATTAGAAAGTTTCTAAAGTTCACACTTCCCTAAAACTGTTTACAAGAGCTATTTACGGCTCTTGCAAAAGTATAATTTTTCTCATAAAAGTATAATTATCATTTTAAATAAAATAAAAAAACACATTGTCATTAAAAAAAAAAATGCTTTTTAAAAGGCACGGTTGTTGCAAAAAAAAAACAGTTTTAAAATGCTGAAATGCTTTTTAAAAGGCACCGTTGTAACTCTAAAGTTCCAACCTAAAACCTAAAGTTCCAAAGCAATATAACTCAAATACTTCTAATCTGGCAATTCCCCTTTATTTTTTCATTTATAAAACGAATAAGTTGTTTAGTTTTAGAGAACCTTTGATTTACAATGATCTTGGTATCAAGTTAGTTGTAAAAACTGGCAAAATTTAGTTCTCTCAGAAAATTTTAATAATAAAAACTACATTTAGTGAATGGTATAGCAAAAACAAAAAACTTAAAGAATGGATTTACAAACTATATGTAGAGAATGGTCAAAAAGACTGAAATTAAAAAATACCTTAAAGTAGTTTAGTCCGGCTTTTCGAGCATTCCAAGATTTTAATGAACAAACCTATTTTTCAAAATAAACATTTTTAAGCACATAAAAAAATTTAGAAAAAAATTTACATAAAAATTATTAATGACTATAAATTCTAGAATATTTTATTGATCAAGAATTTGGTGAGATATATTCAAGATTAAGTAGATTAAAAAATAAAAATTAAGGAGATAAAAAGTGCTTTAATTAAATAAATTGTAAAAAAAAAAAAAAAAAATTTAGAATAATAAAATACCAAACATCCAATTAAATTATTTTTATATCAAGCGATTGCAAATCGCTAACTGAAATGGGTTGAACATAGTGATCTCAAAAGTATATTATTCGAAGCAATCGTGATTGCCAATTTTTATATTACTGGGTAAAAGTATTTATAAAAAAGGTTTCATCATGCTTTAAATTAATATTGGTATAAAATAACCTAGTCAGACAAATATTACCTTTAGCTATTTGTCCATCAGGTTGGGTGAATTTAAAAAAAATTAAATTGCAGATTTCAAATAATACACAAACATTTTTAGAAAGATTACACAAGTACTTAATTCAGTAGATGAGGGGGGGGGGGGGGGGAAGAGAAACTTCAATTAAAATCTCAAAAAGTCTATTAGATGACCTTTCATATGCCCTTGTAACATCTGTAGATGTCAAATGAAGTTTCTCTATGCACAAAATCAGAGCTTAGAGGTAAAGTTTCTCTAACCAAAATATGGTGTTAATTATTTACTATAACAAAATTTTATTACATGTTACATTACATTAGCTACTTGTTTATATGAATAATTTTTTAGAGTGGTTATCACCATAATAAAATAAAATAATGCAAATAAGCAATTTTACATTATGAAGAAGAGAGAATTATGAGATGGAGACATTATGAGATAAAGAAAAAGTTTTTATAACCATATTTAATAAGCTTTAACTGTTTCAAGTTGGTTTTCTAGGACATAACTTTAAATGTTTAAAACATATTTCTTAGAAAATATTTAAAAATAATGAAAATACTGACTATGACTTTAAATGTTTTATTTAAAACATACAAACTTGTTTTATTTAAAACATACGAACTTGTTTTATTTAAAACATATGAACTTGTTTTATTTAAAACATACTAAACTTGTTTTAAAACTTACGAACTTGTTTTATTTAAAACATGAATTTGTTTTATTTAATAATAGTTTCTATAGGCAGAAGAATTAGTAAAAACAGCATCTATGTCCTCACATATTTCTTGTAGTGTTGTGGTAAAACTGATAAATAGCACCTTAAAAAAAAAAATTAATTTTTTTCTTTGAACAATTCTCTTATAGAAGTCTAGTATCTGTTATCTATATATATCAATTAGTATGTAGGCTATATATTAATTATGATGTAGGATAAATGGAAAAACAAATTGAAACATATAATACACAATATTGTGTTTTAAAACTAATCAAAACTCTGATCAATTTGAACAAAAACTTTCTCATGTTTCTAATTGTGTTTGAAATGAACATTATAATTTTTAGCTCTATCATTTTTACGTAACAAATTTTTACTTTATCATTTTTACTTAACAAATTTTAAATGTAATCTTTTTTCATTTTGAACAAATTTTAAATGTAATCTTTTTTAGAAAACTTAATTAAAATTCAATTTCTATAAATAATATTAATTACATCTAATAATAAAACTTCTAAATAATAAATAAGTTTTAATAAATTTAAATAGTATTAATTACATCTAATAATATAACTTTTAAATAATAACTTACTTCTTTAAGAAGCGGGATAGCCACCTCAATGACATCATTATCAAGTTGTTTTGTAGCAAGAGTAGAGAATGCCTACAATTAAAAAAAACAAACAGTTTTAAAAAACACAGTTAAAAAAAATATATACATAAACAAGACTAAGATATACCTTTTTACACAACTGAACCATTTCCTGGTCATCTTCACGAGCTTCAAGTACCATCAACTTAAAAGAAATTTAAAAAAACAATTAAAATTGGGATAGAAAATTTTTAAACATAAAAAGTAATTTTTTAGAGCATAAATACTTATACTTTGACAACAGTCAAAGGTCAAAGAAAAAGAAAATTACTTTTAAATAATTTAAAAATAATTTTAACTAATTTTTTTTATGGTAAACCATCATAAAATCAAACGAGGCTTCAGTATAACTTTTAAAACTATTTTTTTTTTCATAAAACAAATATCAGCCATTTTTTATGTTCAAAACTTTGATCATTTGTCTTATTTTTATATTTTTTGTTTTATGCAGTCATATCTAAATATGAAAAACTCATTTTTAAACAATCCAAAAGTTAAGAGCTAAATTCTGATTAAAAAAAACCTAATTTAGAAATTTAACTTAATTCATTATGTATAACTTAATTCAATATGTATAACAGAGTAGCTATATATGTCTGATATGATATTTTCTGACTTTTAAAGCATATATTTCAATCAAGAAACAAGCACATATGGAAAAGGCTATATACCATTTACATCCTCCCACATCTAGAATTAGCTTTGCCTAAATGGAGACCACATCTAGCAGGAGATATCTTTAAATGGAGACCACATCTAGAAGGAGATATCTTCACTAACTCTAACCCCAACCCTGAAGCTAACCCTAACCAATTAAACAAGTTTAATGAAGAGCTATGAAGGTTACACACTGTATGAAAAATCTCTTGTATAAAGATCAAATAAATAGATTTGATCTAACAACGCTGGAAATAAAAATAAAACGTGGAGGCCTGATCCAAATTTTCAAGTTAGAAAACCATTTAGAAACAGTAGAATGGAACTCATCTATAACAGAAAATATTAGAGGAAATTTTTTGAGAACTCAGACATTTAACATAACTTTTTTAAAAACAGATTAGTTAAGAAGTGGAACAAATAACCAAAAGAAAAAATCTGTCTATGAATTTAAAGGTTTATTTGACAGGCTAAGCACAGGCTACTAGAGCGCACCACCTACTGTTGGTGGGCTGCTATAGCGCATCAACTACTGTTGGTTGGCTGCACAGTTAGTTTATATAAATTTATATTTATAAATACTCTGTGAATTACTATTTATGTTGAAATATATATTACTATTACTAAGTAACTAATTCCAGATGACTTTTTTATTTTTTTCATAACTGTATTATAACTTGCCATACTTTTAAGAAATTTTAATAAGTACAAATAAAATTTTTTATAAAATTTACTTATTAAGACTTACTTATTAAACTTATAACTAAAATTTAAAATATAACAAGTAAATTGTAATAAGAAAAATATTGAAAAAAAGCTGTTTGTACCTTTAAATGCTATTGTATATTGTTGTTAATAAACTTTGAATTATAGAAGCTTATTTAGTAAGCTTTTTAGCTTAGGGTTTATTAATGTGCGATTTGTTTGGTACAAATTGATGAAAGAAGTTAATTAAATAAGACATTATCTTAACTTGTAATCATTAATAATCAGCTAAATATACAATTAAACATTTTCTTATGAGCCATAAAGATAAGAAACTTTTATATAGGTTTATAACAAACTTGAAAACAAAAAATCTTAAGAGATTTTTTAATTTTATATATATTTTAATAATTAATATTTTGATATAGATTTTGGAATATTTCCTTTATAACATAAGATATTTAAGACTTTATAAAATGAAAACAAATCATCAAATCACAACACAGAGTTTAAATTCTAATTTATATATATATATTATATTGGTATTATTTATATCTGTTATTTTCTGTATTATTTTATAAATTTTTTATATTTATTATATACTGCTTTGATTTTAAAAACATGTTCATTGATTTTCCATATATAAACACTTAAACCTAATCTAAAATACAAATACAATATATAAAACAAATATACCATATAACACATATTTACTACATGTACTATAAAATACATATACACAAAATCACATAAAACACTAAAGTAAAAATATTTATTTAAGCACATTTACTTATTAATAAAAAAAAAAAAAAAAAAAAAAAAAATATATATATATATATATATATATATATATATATATATATATATATATATATATATATATATATATACAAAAATACTGAAACTAAATTATCAAAAGTACCACTGGTATCAGCTTGAAAATTTCTTTATTCATTGGCTGCATCATAAAAGCAGTATTAAATAAAAAACCAAGAACTAAAATAAAAAAATAAAAACAGAAAATGTTTTTTTTTTTTTTTTTTTTTGATAAAAAATAAACTAGTGGTTTATGTTTGTTCTTGAAAAAACTTTAGTGGCTACCACTAATAACTACTTATTGGTTACCATGGTTACAACTATTATAAAAGCATTATAAATAAAAAGTAGTCATAAAGAATTTTATAACAAAGTAAATATAAAATTAACAAATATTATCAATTCATAAAGCCGTAAAGTTGCATCTATTTCTATTTTCTACAAATACTATAATGGTTGCTGCTCAAAGGAGCTTTTATCTCTAGTTCCATTAATCAGAACTCATTCTTGCTTGACTCATCAAAGTCTCATCTTTTTACTGTATATGTCTCTGCACACTCTAAAATATTTATTTGTCAAGTTTTTTTGCCTACACTTAAACCATTTGGAACTTTCTTTTATCTTTATGTTTATTTGAGGGTAATTCCACACCAAATTACCCAGTCCATTGAAGCATTTGTCTTTGTTTTTCTTTTATCTTTTGACATATGATTCCTATTTATCAAAAACGTTTTCATGACATTTAAAAAATATATTTAAAAAAAAAAAAGGAATAACAAAGACAAAAATATGAACATAAACATTCAAAACCCTTTTTTTTTACGCTGAATTCAATAAACTTACTTAAGATGCTAAAATATGAAATGAACATGCTTTAAAGTTAATAAAACTACTGACTTATAACTCAACTTCGGAGCCAAACATCTCAAAACACTCCCAGTCCAATTTTTTTTTTTTTTTACTTTTAATACTTTTTGTTAGTTATAATCTTACAAGTCATCAAAAGTTCAACATTATTCGCCTGAGTCAAAAAGTTTAAACAGGAGTGTTTTGAGATATTGGGCCCCAAAGTTGAGTCGTATAAACCAGTTGTTTTATTAACTTTTAAGCATGTTCCTATCATATTTTAGCATTTTAAGTAAATTTATTGAATTCAGCATCAAAATAGTTATTTTCATATTTTCATATTTCACATTTCTCATTTTATTAAGAAAAATGTTATTTCAAAATGTTATGAAAACTAAGAAAACCAGGTCAATATTAAAATTGAAACATTTTGGGCCAAAATTTTTTGTGAGAACTTCTTTTTGTAACATGTAACAGCCAAAAAAGTTTGAAGAAAATATGAGACCCATAGTTTAAAATTTTCTAAATTTTGGGTGATTTGATTTGGAATTACCCCTGACTTACAAACTACAACTTTTTAAGTTTTATGTCAACTGTTTCCTTGCTTTTTAACTCTATTCTTTGTTTTCTAGTAATTCCTAACTTAATAGTGGTTACTTGCACTCTTGTTTGGACTGAATCAGAATTAAAAAACAAAAATCATCAGGTATAAAAAAATTATTTACAATTTATATATATATATATATATATATATATATATATATATATATATATATATATATATATATATATATATATATATATATATATATATATACATATGATGTCTCGAAAGGAAAATTTATTTTTTTAGACTGTCAAGTTATTCAACCACCATGCCAAACAAATTACAAACATACATCTGAAGCTCAAAAGAAAAAACTTTAAAATGAGATTAGATCAAAAGAATCTCTTGATAGTCAGTCAAATACTAAAACACTTTTTATTATATATATATATATATATATATATATATATATATATATATATATATATATATATATATATATATATATATATATATACATATATATATATATATATATATATATATATATATATATATATATATATATATATATATATATATATATATATATATATATATATATATATATATATATATTTATTTACATATAGAAAAAACAACTTTTCATGGGACTAATAGTTTCATGCCTATAAGGCAATCATCAGCCATGTATACGGCAATCATCAGCCATACATGGCTGATGATTGCCGTATAGGCATGAAACTATTAGTCCCATGAAAAGTTGTTTTTTCTATATGTAAATAAATATATATATATATATATATATATATATATATATATATATATATATATATATATATATATATATATATATATTTATTTACATATAGAAAAAACAACTTTTCATGGCACTAATAGTTTCATGCCTATAAGGCAATCATCAGCCATGTATACGGCAATCATCAGCCATACATGGCTGATGATTGCCGTATAGGCATGAAACTATTAGTCCCATGAAAAGTTGTTTTTTCTATATGTAAATAAAAATAAATATATATATATATATATATATATATATATATATATATATACCGCTCTAGTTAGAAAGTTGTTTACTTTCTTTATTATTGAGCACTCTTAACCGAAATAGAGTTTTGTATTACTATATATATATATATATATATATATATATATATATATATATATATATATATATATATATATATATATATATATATATATATATATATATATACCGCTCTAGCTAGAAAGTTGTTTACTTTCTTTATTATTGAGCACTCTTAACCGAAATAGAGTTTTGTATTACTATATATATATATATATATATATATATATATATATATATATATATATATATATATATATATATATATATATATATATATATATATATATATATAATAAAAAAGAGTTTTAGTATTTAATGCTAATGATCCACATTGAAGATGATTTTTTCTTCAAAAAATAAAATTGACTATTTGGAATATCAAGTAAGAATCTATTATTTTAAGTATTATTCTAAGTATTATTCTAAGTATTATATATCTAAGTATTATTCTAAGTATTATTCTAAGTATTATATATCTAAGTATTATTCTAAGTATTATTCTAAGTATTATATATCTAAGTATTATTCTAAGTATTATATATCTAAGTATTATTCTAAGTATTATTCTAAGTATTATATATCTAAGTATTATTCTAAGTATTATTCTAAGTATTATATATCTAAGTATTATTCTAAGTATTATTCTAAGTATTATATATCTAAGTATTATTCTAAGTATTATTCTAAGTATTATATATCTAAGTAATATTTTAAGTATTATTCTAAGTATTATTCTAAGTATTATATATCTAAGTATTATTCTAAGTATTATTCTAAGTATTATTCTAAGTATTATATATATATAAGTATTATTCTAAGTATTATATATCTAAGTATTATTCTAAGTATTAATTAAGCAGAACTATGTTTTTCGGCATAACTTAACCTCATTGCACTATGCTAAACTAGTCACAGATTAGCAACACACATATAAAAATAACTGGTGCTAAAATACATATATCCAATTTAAAATTATTCATTTTCCAATAAAGGATTTTGATGGAATTATATATACCATCAAAATCCTTTATTGGAAAATACATACCAACTAGAAACCAGAATTAGATATTGAGAAACATGGATATTAAGGTTGAACAAGTTAGCTTTAATAACAAACAAAAAACTTGACCATCATGGATTTGTTACTTTTATATCCACCATTATGGAATTAAATGATATACTTTTTTTTTTTTTTTGATTTATAAAAACATAAAAACTACAAGCAAATGTAGTTTTTATGTTTTATTTTTTTGAATAAGTAGTTTTTATGTTTTATTTTTTTGAATAATTCTTTGGAATAGTTATTTTTTTGAATAATTCTTCAAAATAGTTATATTAAAAATCTAATTACATAAATTTTTTTGACAAAAAATGAAAAAACTGAAAAGACAAAAAACTGAAACTAAAAAATACAACTTACATTTTTTTTAAAACTGTAATTAACCTAATTAATGAAGTAACAAAAAAAGTAACTAAACTAGTATCTTTAACTTTCTTAATCAAATTGCTATTAAGTTATGTGAACTTCACAAAAAAATAACAACTTCTAATTTACCCATAATACCCACTACATAAATTACCCACTACATAATACATACCAGTCAAAAAATAATTTCTAACCCACTACATAATACATACCAGTCAAAAAATTACCCATAATACATACCAGTTTTAGCGACTCTATCCCTGCTCTTACTCTCTTCACTTCTGATTGGAATTTCATGGTTAGAATGGTTTGTTTTACTATTATCTATGACAACATGATCTTTATTAGAAACACTCGACTCGTTTAATATTTCTAATTTCAGATGAACTAATTCAGGTAAAACAAAATCAATGAACTGATCAATATGTGGTGACTTGGTTTTAGTGTAACCACCATATTTTAAGTCATACATAAACAAGTGAGATAGTACACTAAACAAAAATATTTTGAAAGTGTTTATGATTTTTTTAATAACAACAAGTTAAAAAAAATTAACAAGAAAATAGACAAAAAGAATTAAAGTTTTTAAAAGTAATGTTCCAATTCTCAAACATTTAAAAGTAATATTACCTTCCAATTCTATCTCGAACATTTTTAAAGTAGTGGCTAAAATGAGGTTTTAAATACTCTAAGAGATCATGATATACATCTGCCATTCTCCATTCTTGCTGTGCAATAGTGCGTATAAGAATGAATAAACGACTAGAATCCCCAAATGAACCACCAACAGAACTAATAGGATTTTCGAGTAACATTCGAAACAAATGATGTAAACGATTTGGATCACGAGACTCCTAATTAAAGCAAAAAATATTTCCATAGAAACCTGAGTTTCCATAGAAACCTGAGTTTTAATCACTAAGTAGTTATTTATATGATTTACATTCCAAGATTGTAAAAAAAAACAAAAAAAAAAACAAAAAACTCCACAAATCATAAATTTAAAATGCTTTAAAATTAATGAACCTTTTAAAAATAAATTAAGTAGGGGTTCATTCTATACTTATTTGTATTAATAATAACATTAATAAGTATATATATAAAATCATTTTGTTCACTTAGCCTCACATCAAACATCAAATAATGATGCCACACCAATATAGTCATCATTGGGGGCTTCAGTACATTAGGTTTGTGCAAGTACTTTTTAAAATAAGAACTTTTGCCATGTCAAAAAAAACTTGATTTTTTTTTTCATTTTTCATTTTTTTTAGCTAAACAATTTTGTCTGAACAAAGTATAATAAAGCTGTGTCAACGTAAATAATATATAAAAGTGTATACACACACATGCATACAATTATAATACTATATATTATAATAAATTGATTCTATATTGTATTTAACAGCATTAAAAAAATATCATAATTAACTACCGTTGAATGAGCAAGTGCTGTTGACCAATCTGTTAGAAGTTCTGGCATAATATTTGTTGAGAAAACAGCTTTTAATTGAAGACAAACAAAACTCCAAAATGATTCAAGGTCATCATACTTCCAATTTCTACAACCTCGAATAATTCCAGAGATCATCTCAGCAGCACACCTGTGTTTGCTCTCAATATTTTCGCTTAGAAATTCCTCAATCCTTTTTTTAAATTCCACAAGCAAAGTAGATCCAAAGTTCTGGCATAACAACTTAAAATGTTGAAAATGGTGCACGTAAAACGAATCTTCTCCTTTTTTTACTTCCAATGACACAAACTTAAAAAAACTATTAGTTAATTCTTCATCAGAAAAAAATTTTTTAAATAACATATGATATGGATTAGATTCATTATAAGTCCTTTCAACTAAACAAGTAGGTGAATATATCTTAAGTTCTACAGGCCATGTTTGGAAACTCCAGTGTGTTTTATCAACGTAATGATATTTTTCCAGGTCTTCTTGACTTTTGGGTTCAAATATCCATTTAAACTGTAACCACTCATTATCCAGTCGATTATCTCCAGGTTGTAAATTTAATAATTCACTTGGACTTGAAGAAAATCCATACTTTTTATAGTCTAACACAACCTTTTCAAATTTAGGCTTTTGTTGATGTAAAATAGAATTAACTCCTCTCAAAGCATCCTAAATAAATAAATACCCAGATACATACATAAATAAATACATGTAATTTCCTGGTTGGAATTGTTATAATTAATTTTTATAAAATGAATAAAGTTCATTAGAGAGTAACTAATTGAAACAAAAATAGAACAAAAAAATACAAAAAAATAAAAACGCATAAAAATGGATCTGAGCAAAAAAAAAGTGTAACTTTGAAAAACTTCTTAACTTGATTGTTCCTTGTAACTTTGAAAAACTTTATAAGTAACCAACTCATTTATTCAAGATTTAATTACAAATGTGTTTTTAAACAATTTGTTTCGCACTTGTTATTATAGTGCAACTGTCAAAATCATTTGATTACAATTTTAATCACAAATAAGAGAAATGAATGAAGAAAAGAAGAAAACGAATGAACTTTTAAAATATTATCAATCAAAGTATGATCAATTGGGTTTAGAAAATAACATTATAATGTATAAAAGTATTTTTTATATTGCTGTTTTATTTAAAAAACTAACTATATTATAAAATTTCTTATATTTATATTTATTAAATTAATAACTAAATTATTAAATAAATACAAAAATAATTAGTAAAAATGAGATTAGCAATAAACTGCCAACCTTAAACTGTTAGAGGTTGGCAAAAAAATTTGAGACAAAGGCGTTACCATAAAAATAGAAACAAGTTTTCTATAGATAGTATAACCAAATGCCAAACCAATTCTAAGAGAGCCTGTATGTGTGTATATGTATATATGTATATATGTATATATATATATATATATATATATATATATATATATATATATATATATATATATATATATATATATATATATATATATATATATATATATATATATATATATATATATATATATATATATATATATATATATATATATATATATATATATATATATATATAAAGCAAGATAGCCAAGCCAGTAAACAAAAGTAAATCTTTTTTTCTCAAAATATTTATTACTAAAAATATTTTTTTTATTTTTCCAAAAAATACACTAATACAAAGTATTTTTATATAATTGATTAAATAAACTTTAAGCACTAGAGGCCTTTCAAAAAATCATCAGTAATGCTGTTATGGTATTATAGCAAAAATTTTGTATGCAAAATAAATTTAATTGCATATTGTTGCTATGAGTAAATATTTTGATAAATTCAGTTCTAATAATACACAGGAAGTATCAATTAAAAGTCATCATGTTTTTGTTTGCGCAGATGCTTTTTGTATGATAACAAAAAACTTTCATTGTTAAGCTCAAGGAAAACAAAAAGTTGAAAAAAAGGTTCAATAACATTTTGGTAGGAGCGTTGACAGGTATAAACCTGGTTGTCAAATCTATTAGTTGGTAGGCCAGTTCTGCAACTAGAAATATGTCCATTTATTCGTTATCTTAAATAGTTAGTTTTGCCAGTATATGTGGCTTGTTTTTTGCATGCCAAACTTTTAAGGTAATAAATTATATTTTTGCTGTTGCATGTGATGTGACTTTTTATTTTCCAGATAGTACCATTAGAAGTTTCAAACTCATCTACTTAATCCCTTAAATCAAAAATCCCTTAACCAAAATAACAGTTCAAAACACAATATAGAAAAAGAATATTTGAAGTTACAGATCAGCATCAAAGATATTTTATAAAATCACTTGAGAAACATGAGTATCTATATTACAAGCATACCAGATGTACCAACCTCCTTAATATTTACCATGATTGTCTAGAACAAGAACCATTATTTATTCCCAGAAAGTTTAGAAGTGATAACTTTTATTTCATGTCAAATGAGGAAGAAAATGCAATTAAAAAGTTTGATTTACAACGTCTTAAGTCTGAATGTGAAATCGTTACTATAAGAAAAGATAATTCCCTTACGTCATTGAAAAACCTAGACGATGAAGTGTCTAATTTTATTATTAATCGCGCCACAAGTGATGAACTTCACGAAAAGTTAATTCATCGATATCAAGTATGTAAAGACAAAGATATTGAACGCATCAATAAAAAATGGTCCAAAAAAATGAGTTCTACTAAAATTGCTTTCGAAAAAGATAAAAAGTATTTAAATTCTAAAAAAAATTTATCAGACTCCATAAATAGTAATAATAATATTGATGTAAGTTCTATTGTATCAAATAACGATGGCATCCACCATAACCAGCAAACAAAATCAATACCGTCATAAAACTGGACAAGCCCAAGTACAAAAAAATACAACCTAAGGTCATCAACCTATCCACCAAACACTTGACATCTTCTCAAATATCTCTTCTCACCAAAGGTCCAAAGTTTTGCCCGGCCACAAACGGTAATTTCTTACATATTGGTTCAGATATTAAAAATTTTACTAGGAAACTTATACTAAAAGAAAAATTTTATGGTGCTACAAGTAGCGATATTAGTATAATTAAAAATAAATCTAACTATTGTACCAAAACCACTCTGCCAGAATTAAACGAAATTATTTCACAAATTGAACAAACTAAACCTATTAAAGTCCAATATATTGATAACATTACAAAAGAAGAAAGAGCAGCGATTAAAGAATTACAAGAAATGAAAGACATAGTCATTAAAAAAGCTGACAAAGGTAATACTTTAGTTGTAATGGATTCGACATTTTATACTAACAAACTTGTTTATCAAGACCATCTTTTTTCTGTTAATACATATGAAAAAATAGGTATTGAATCTGATAAAATAGTTTTTAGCAATCTTATTAAATTGATAAACAAACATAAATACCTCACAACAAATGAAATGAAATATATCACAAACTTTAAATGGAAATCTAGTAATTTCTATGTAATTCCTAAAATTCACAAATGCCAAGAAATCATTAAAAAGGTAAAAAAGTCCAACTCTTTATTCAATGAAATGAAACCACCAAAAGATCTTACAGGTAGACCAATTATTGCCAGAATAAATTCGCCAACATCTCATTTGAGTCTGTTTTTACATATAATTTTATCACCAATTGTAAAGAAACAAAAACCTTTCATTAAAGATGATTGGGATTTCCTTAGAAAAATTCCAAGAGAGTTTGAATCAGAAAGTCGTATAATGACATGCGACATTGTCAATCTTTACACAAGCATCCCACATTATCTTGGTTTAGAAGCCCTAAAGTTCTGGATATTTAAATATAAAGAATTGATAGATAAAAGATTTACACCTGAATTCATAATTGAGTCAGCATCTTTTATTTTAAATAACAATAATTTTATATTCAATAAACAATTATTTCACCAAACAACTGGTACAGCCATGGGTACAGATTTCGCGCCAGATTATGCTTGTCTTACTATTGGGTTTCTAGAAGAGACTAAGCTTTTTTCAGTAATTTTACCTCAGTATTTTTCAAATTGTGAAGTAAATGATATAAAAAAATTTTATTTTAGATATATTGATGATGGTTTTATAATCTGGCCAAAACATCTTGATATCATAAATTTTAAAATTTCTCTAACTGAATTAAATGAATCAATTAGTTTTACAA